TGTTCCTGCCTTTGTCTTCTAAGTGCTTTAATTATAGGCATGCATTCCCATATATTCGCCTGATTACTTCTAGGACTCTTATTACATTTTATTTTCTTAATGTAATACTAGAAAGGTTTTTGTTTTGTTTTGTTTTGTTATGTTTTGGTTTGGTTTGGTTTTGGTTTTGGTTTTTCCAAGACAGGGTTTCTCTGTAGCTTTGGAGCTAGTCCTGGAACTGCTTTTGTAGACCAGGCTGTTCTGGAACTCAAAGAGATCCACCTGCCTCTGCATCCCTAGTGCTGAGATTATAGGCATGCACCACCTCTGACTGGGTATAAATTCTTAAATAAAGAGAATGGATATAGTATAACAAGATTAAAAATTATAAAGTCATAACACAAACTTAAACAAGTGATTTTCTAAATATTGAAAATATTAAATGTGGTTTAGAAATCATTCTTAGAGAGCCTGAATTAATTAACTGAAGAGAATAACATGGGCTTATATTTTTTCATTTTGGAAATTTTGAGTAATTTGTATATAGTAAACTCATTGTTGTAATCCTTATGGTGATAGATCCTTATTTTAATTTCCTTTTTTTAGGCAGTATAAAGTAATCTTAATTTTCTATAGCATTCAACTAAGTATACATTTCAAAATATCTACAAAAGATTTATAAGATTCTTAATACATAAAAAATTTGAGAAATTGAAAATGCTAATTGCAGTAATTTAATAATTGCTTTACTACATGCTATCCAATTTAATACCATAACCTGTGAATAAATATTTTATGTCAATTAAAAATTTAAACGAAATAAAATTTTAAAAAGAAATTCAATATGAAGTGATTACAATGCATGGAGGAACATCAAACACCTGTTGCTAAATTGAAAGAACCCATGGTAAAAAGGTCACACAGCATGAATCCAATATGGCACACTAGTGAAGCAGAGCTTTTGGAGATAGCAAGATGAATGTTTTCCAGAGAGGGAGGAAGGGAGTAGAAGATACGGATGAATAGGTGGGGCGCCGAGGGTGTTTAAGATACAACCCTAGTTGCTACATGTTATGGTTTATCTTGGTTATATCAGTGTTCAAATAAAATCCAGTGGTGATATATATATAAAGTGAAGGATGAGAAATGTATAGAATAACAAATGCATATTGTAATTCTTGGAGACTACTACTAAAACAATAATTCTAAAGATCCTCAAAATTCCACTATTGTGTTTCTAAACTTTTAGCTATCCCCAACCTATTTCGTATTCTTAGAGTTTTCATTTTCTCCATGTAATATAAACATACATATACAGTAAAAAGCCTTTTAACTCTAGCTTTATTTGTCGGAGGGCAGTGCATTTCAAATTCATCCATACTGTTAGTTGTTCAGTGTTTTTTCTTTAAAATTACTTACTAGTGTTTTAAAACTAGATTTTATGATGTTGCCTTGGTGTTTTCCATTTGAGGACACTTGTTTCATACTTTGAGTAATTATGAATAAAGTTGTAGTAAATATTAATGAACAGTTTTTCATATGAACCTAATTTATTTGAGTAAATTGCTAAGAATATCATTACTTATTACTATGGTAAATTTATATTTAATGAGAAACTTAGAGATTCTTTACCATAGTGGTTGTAGATTTCCCAAACCTATTGAATGTGTAATAGTTACTTTAGTTATTCTAATAGGCATGTGTCTCAACATGTCATTTTTCATATATTTATGTCTTTATAAAAATGTTTGTTCAGCGTGGCAGACAATGAAGGCTGATGAGAAGCCAAGGACAATGGCACTAGGTTTCAATCGTAATACATGAACTGGCTGTGTGGGAGCCTAGCCTGTTTGGATGCTCACCTTCCTGGTCCTGGATAGAAGTGGGAGGACCTTGGACTTCCTGCAGGGCAGGGAACCTGGACTGCTCATCATTCTCGAGAGGGAGGGGGAATGGAGTGGGGGGGAGGG